TTTTTTACATAGAAAGAGTGTTATTTTTTATTTTATTTTATTGACTTTTTTTTTTTTTTAAACCCAGTCTCTTACAAACAAATTTATTTTAGTGTATTCCCCATAGAGTTATATATATTTCTTTACTTGTTCTTGTTACCTAGGCAACGAATTTCACAAGGAAGGGCTTTATTTCTAAACACTATAAACACTGGATGGTTGTTTTGCCGTTGTGATTAGAATAAACCATCTTACCCCTCCCGTTTCGAGTCTACGGGCCAACAAAACCTCTTTCTCTCCCGCTCTTGGCTCTCGGGCTGCGTTCCCCGGAGATGAGCAAAACAAACGCACCATCTGCCGTCTCTGTCCAGGTGAGCTCCGTCTCCTCCCGGCCCGGCTCGCCCCAAACCACCGAGCGCACCCTGAATCCATCTTCATTTACCGCGAGAAATTACGAGGGGTAAACGGTTGGACGAGATAACTGGGTCAACCAAATACATGTGTTTTTTTTTTTTTTTTTGCGTGAGACTTTTGAACGGACGAGCTGTAATTCTTCAGAGAGTCTAATTCTGCGGCGCCATCTGTTCGTATGTTTTCTAGCCATTTTTCTCCAGACTCCAACAGCAGGACTCTTACACTCGCTCCAAAATATAAACACAGTTGTTGTATTTTTGCAATTTTTTTGTACTAAATGTGCACTGGGTAACTTTTCTGCTCGTCTCCATGGCGATATTACTGTTTTGCCTTGATTATTAGCACAGAAATAGACTTGGTAGTCACAGTAGAGACAGTTAAAGGTCAGATCTATGGAGAAGCGAGTCTGCACGTGGGAAGAATTTGTGCTTTTTGTCTCGTAGGGTGATCTTGGTCTGCAGGGGGTATTCAGACCCAGGTTACACTTGGTTTAGTCCTGGTTTAGTTCTTGTTTTAGACCTGTTTTTGTTTTACTCCTGGTTTAGTCCTGGTTTAGACCTGGTTTAGTCCTGGTTTAGTCCCGGTTTAGTCCTTGTTTAGACCTGTTTTAGACCTGTTTTAGTCCTGGTTTAGTCCCGGTTTAGTCCTTGTTTAGACCTGTTTTAGACCTGGTTTAGACCTGTTTTAGTCCCGGTTTAGTCCTTGTTTAGTCCTGGTTTAGTCCTGGTTTAGTCCCGGTTTAGTCCTTGTTTAGACCAGTTTTAGACCTGTTTTAGTCCTGGTTTAGTCCTGTTTTAGTCCTGGTTTAGACCTGTTTTAGTCCTGGTTTAGCCCTTGTTTAGTCCTGGTTTAGTCCCGTTTTTTTATTCCTGGTTTAGTCCTGTTTTAGTCCAGTTTAGTTTAGTCCTGTTTTAGTCCTGGTTTAGTCCTTGTTTAGTCCTTGTTTAGTCCTGTTTTAGTCCCGGTTTAGTCCTGGTTTAGTCCTGGTTTAGTCCTGTTTTAGTCCTGGTTTAGTCCTGTTTTAGTCCTGGTTTAGTCCTTGTTTAGTCCTGTTTTAGTCCCGGTTTAGTCCCGGTTTAGTCCTTGTTTAGTCCTTGTTTAGACCTGTTTTATACCTGTTTTAGTCTTTGTTTAGTCCTGGTTTAATCCTTGTTTAGTCCTTGTTTAGTCCTTGTTTAGTCCTGTTTTAGTCCTGTTTTAGTCCTTCTTTAGTCCTGGTTTGGTTCTTATTTAGTCCTGTTTTAGTCCTTGTTTCGTCCTGGTTTAGACCTGGTTTAGTCCTTGTTTAGTCCTGTTTTAGTCCTTGTTTAGTCCTGTTTTAGTCCTGGTTTAGTCCTGGTTTAGTCCTGGTTTAGTCCTGGTTTAGTCCTGTTTCAGTCCTGGTTTAGTCCTTGTTTAGTCCTGGTTTAGTCCTGTTTCAGTCCTGTTTTAGTCCTTGTTTAGTCCTGTTTCAGTCCTGGTTTAGTCCTGGTTTAGTCCTGGTTTAGTCCTGGTTTAGTCCTGGTTTAGTCCTGGTTTAGTCCTGGTTTAGTCCTGTTTAGTCCTGTTTAGTCCAGTCCTGGTTTAGTCCTGGTTTAGTCCTGGTTTAGTCCTGGTTTAGTCCTGGTTTAGTCCTGTTTAGTCCTGGTTTAGTCCTGGTTTAGTCCTGGTTTAGTCCTTGTTTAGTCCTGGTTTAGTCCTGTTTAGTCCTGGTTTAGTCCTGGTTTAGTCCTGGTTTAGTCCTGGTTTAGTCCTGTTTCAGTCCTGGTTTAGTCCTGTTGGTTTAGTCCTGGTTTAGTTTTAGTCCTGGTTTAGACCTGGTTTAGTCCTGGTTTAGTCCTGGTTTAGTCCTGGTTTAGACCTGGTTTAGTCCTGGTTTAGTCCTGGTTTAGTCCTGGTTTAGTCCTGGTTTAGACCTGGTTTAGACCTGGTTTAGTCCTGGTTTAGTCCTGGTTTAGTCCTGGTTTAGTCCTGGTTTAGACCTGGTTTAGTCCTGGTTTTAGTCCTGGTTTAGTCCTGGTTTAGACCTGGTTTAGTCCTAGTTTTAGTCCTGGTTTAGTCCTGGTTTAGTCCTGGTTTAGTCCTGGTTTAGTCCTGGTTTAGTCCTGGTTTAGTCCTGGTTTAGTCCTGGTTTAGTCCTGGTTTAGTCCTGGTTTAGTCCTGGTTTAGACCTGGTTTAGTCCTGGTTTAGTCCTGGTTTAGTCCTGTTTAGTCCTGGTTTAGTCCTGGTTTAGTCCTGGTTTAGACCTGGTTTAGTTTAGTCCTTGTTTAGTCCTGTTTAGTCCTGGTTTAGTCCTGGTTTAGTCCTGGTTTAGACCTGGTTTAGTCCTGGTTTAGTCCTGGTTTAGTCCTGGTTTAGTCCTGGTTTAGACCTGGTTTAGTCCTGGTTTAGTCCTGGTTTAGTCCTGGTTTAGTCCATCAGAAGTCCGTGAGTGAAACCTTACACACATTCGTACACTGACGTCCTGTGTTGTGCTGTGGAGCTGAGGCTGTAACCTCGTCTCGTCTGTCACGTCTCGGAGCCCAGACTTGACAAATGACATTTCCAGCCCTCAGACTCCACTCCCATGATGCACTGCTCCTCCCCCAGCCCCTCAGGACCAGAGCGGATTATGTCAAAGCAGTTCACTTGTATCAAAGAGGTAATGAACCCGAGGCCTCAGCTATTCATTTGCGAATTAGACGCTTTGTATTTTCTGTTTTGTGCAAATTGGAAAGGAAAGAAGAATTAATCTGACTTTTTATTCAATTTACGCGCATGTTCTTTGGGAAACGCTGCAGTTTAGAGACACAAATTAATGGATAATCAGTAAAAAGCGTAAAATATAAGTGCTTAAAGGTTCTATATTGCACAAAATTGACTCTTGGGAGCTTTAAGTCGTGTTATAATGTTGTTATCTTCTCAAAAACAGACCTGGAGTTGTGTTTTGTTTCATTTACACATGTTTGACTAACCCTTTATTATTACAAAGCTCAAAATGCTCTGTTCCACCTTGTGATGTCATGAAGCAGTAGTTTTTAAGTTAATTTCAAGCTTTTTTTTTTTTTTTTACTTTTTGTTTAGAAGAGATTGGACATTTTAGGGCTGAAATATTAAAATCAACTCTAAAACGAACTGGAAATCTGTGCAACAACGTTAAAATCAGGGTAATGTGCTCATGTTTTTTGGTTCCAGTTCAAAGTCACGCAGCAGAATTTTGCACTAACTGTGAACGAGAAAGTGCGTGGAGGCTGATGTGGGAAAAATGTGCATTACAGTTGTTTAAACGAGACAAGATAAAAGCGTGCGTGACCTGTTCATTTTAGAAATATATCATATTGAATTGTATCAAATCCAAAACTCTGAAAGATCGGCCTCGAAACCTTCGACTCGAGCACATTTGGACTCGGTCTTGTCTCGGACTCGAGGTCTGACATTCGATGAGTGAGATCATATCCTTACATTTTTCATTCTTATTACTGTTTATTTTGTACAATCATAAACGATAAACTTTGTGCCTAAGATAACATTATTATTCATTTGTACGACCATATATACTGATATGTACTGGATATATATGATGTGTACATGTATGTATGTATGTGTTTACATGTACATGTATGCGTGGATATGTTTTTGTATATTTCTGCATAATAACAGGTAAGCATCCAAAGGTGTTTTATATATATAAGTGTGAACCACGTGATTATGTAAAACAATTGTGGTCGGACTCTTAGTTTTTAAACTTCATCCTACTCCTTTTGAGCTCCAGGCCCCAAATGTTCATCACTATTTTTTTTGTTATTGTTTTTGAAGTTTGTTGTACCTGGCTCAAACAAATAAATAAATGAAAAGAAATATTTCATTACGGCCGGTAAATGTGCAGTCTAAATATCACCGCAAAACCAGTAATATAATGTAACCGTAAATGTTAAGAACTTGAAAAAAAACACTTGATTCACTCTGAAGTCATTTTTTGTAAAGCGCCAGAGGAAGTGGGATTAAAGAAGTGTTTCTCAAACTGTGGGTGAGGGTCCAAAAAAGGGGCACAGAGTGTTGAAGTGCAGTACAGTTTGCTTGGCTTATTTTAAGCCTAAATTAACATTAATCAGATAAAATGGAGGTAGATTTATAAAACCATTGACATTTTTTTACCAAAATAACTGTAAAATACAAATAAATGTAGAAAATGGCAAAAATGGTCTCGATTTGGTCTTGATGGGCAGTGGTCTCGGTCTTGTCCTGGTCTTGGGACTCTGTGGTCTGGGACTGGTCTTGGTCTCGATTAGAGCAACACTACTGATTTTCTAATTTTAATAGTAGAATCAGGCTGAGTTCACAAGTTACTTCTGTTTTATCCAAGACCATAACATTTTGTTCAGTAGTTCACTAATGCTCGACGTTGTAAGTTTTCGTCTTTCTTACCTTGACAGTCATGGATAAATTCTCGATGTTAGAATATTTATCCTTTGTGGACGTTGTTGGTTGAAGATTTGGTGATGGGGCAGATTTATGAACCATTAACCAGAAGTTCCCTCAAACCTACATCATGACTGACTGTAGCAGTGCGCGCCTGCTGCCTTCTGCCACCAGGTGGCACCTGGGCTTATAAAAGGGCACTCCCCGTAGCGTCTCGTTCTCTGACCTCGGCGCACTTCCGGGATAGGGCTCCGCCTTGTCGCGCACAGGTAAACAACCGCTGTTCTCTAATTACAATTACAATTTTATAAATTTTAATGTGTGGCTTTATTGTAGTGCCACTGCTCCTAGAGTCTCGATGTGCCCGATCCAAGTTATGGCTCATGAGTAAAGCTCCTGTGTGTATTTGCTGTTGATCGCCACAAGCGCCACTGTTCGCCGCTGTCCACGGTCGGGTCGGTGTCGGGTCGGGTCGGTGTCGGGTCGGTGTCGGGTCGGGTCGGTGTCGGGTCGGTGTTGCTGTCAGTGTCGGGTCGGTGTCGGGTCGGGTCGGTGTCGCTGTCAGACGCTCCGGCCGCTCGGCGTGAAGCCTCGTGGATGTAGAAGCGTGTGTTTTGTGGTACGTTGGCTGGTCACTGGTTTAGGTTCATGTATGTGGCTACGACCAAGTGAAAGATCAAATATAATGTTCATTTTAGGGTCCAGGCTGGTCTTCGGCGCGTCATCTGGTGGAGCGGTGGCCCTGCTGCTTTGTTTTACTGTGTTTTATATTTTAAAGGACAAAATCACCGTACAGCTGCTTTTAATCGGCAGTTATGTGAACAGTGAATAATCGACTCTTAAGTTAATCTAACAAAAGGAACAAATGAATTATGGCAATAATAAATTACTTCATGTTTTGTAAGTCACTTGTCTCTGTCAGTTAACGAACCTGTGAGCCTTTTAGTTTAGTGGCGTTGTTGGTCTTCTGTTAATTATATTACTTTGGGCTGCTCCTCACACGACACTTCCGGAAAAACGAAGGTTTGGAAGAGCTCGTCCGATACTCCCATAAAAGACTCGACTCAAACAGAACGGGTTAAGTGTCTTGCCAAAGGACACAATGACGCTCTGCACTGACGGGAGCGTAGATGAAACCAGCGACGTTCAAAGTGTTTTCTAATAAACTCCTAATGCGTTTTGCTCTTTTAATAAACAGGGTGAATGTTGTTGCCTTTAATTTCACATCACTTCCCCCCAAGTGTCTGTCAAGAGCCGCTCCAAGACACTTTAGAATTTAGTAGGTCAGCAGTCCCCACTCCATTATCCCGCTCTCTTTCTCTCTCTCATCCTTTTCTCCAGGCCCCCTCCCTCCTTTCTCTCATCTCTCCTCACTTTCTTCCTTCTCTCACATTTTCGTCATTATCGTCTTTCCCTCCATCCCCGTCTCGGCGTTTCGTCTCTCGTCTCGTTTGTCTCTTTTCATTTCCTCCCTCTCTCGACCTTCAATCTCCTCTTCTTCTTTACCAAAACTACCTTTTTCCTCTTTCCCTCTCTCTCTCTCTGTTCCTCTCTCTTTCAGTCTCTTGGCTCACTCCTTCGCCTCTTTCTCTCACAATCTCTCTTCTCTTCTCCTTCTCTTGTTCTGTTTCTCTCTTCTCTTCTGTCTCCTCTCCCTCTCCTCTCTCTCTTCCACTGTTTCCTTTTCTTCTTTCACTCTCTCTCTCTCCTCCCTCTCCTCCATGTCAATCTCTTTCTCTCTCCTCCCTCTCCTTCTCTCTCTTTTCCCTCTGCTCCTCTCCTCTCTCTCCCTCTCTCTCCTTCTCCTCTCTCTGTTTAGTTTGTTGTGTGTGTGTGAAGTGACTTTAACTCTCTCTCTCTCTCTCTCTGTCTGTCTGTCGTTCCAGATTGAACCCTGTGGTGGCGCCAGCGAGCACCACATTCATCCCTCCCTCCTCCTCCTCGCCGCTCGTCTTCATCATCACACATAAAGTCTCGACGACGCGTGATTCACCGATTAAAGTCGTGTCGATGATTCAAATGGAGGAATTAGTGAAGCTTCTATGTTTAATACAGAGACAAAACACAACAAACTGCATCACATTAAAAAACTGAAACATCCACGTTTTTTGGTGGTTGATAAGAATAAAATTGTTAAAAAAGCTCGTAATTTAAAAAACTGTTACACAGAGACCTTTTATGTGAGTGATTTTCTTTGTGTTTTGGTCATTTTTAAGCAGATTTTTTGTATTTTGCCTAAACAAATTATGCTTCTCTTTTAGTGTGACCGGTCGTCCCTGTTTACCCGGGACAGTTTTGTGTCCCCTGTCCCAGCAGATTTATCCAAAACCACTGATTTGTCTCAGTTTTATACAAGAAACGGCCCAGGTGTCACTATTTTTGACCAATCTGATCTACATCAGGTCTAAACCAGGACTAAAACAGAACAATTTTTGACTAATCTGATCCCCGCCAACAGTAAAGAGAAGCTAAATTGTCATTTGTTTAGCCAAAATATGGAAAACCGTGTGTTAAAGAATCACTGCTCGGACCCAAATATGCAGTAACAAAAGTATTAACTAAAATAGTCGTGGACGGGGGGATAGATTCCAGGGGAGGTAGGACGGGTCCAGGTTGGCTGAAGTGCAAAGGTGAAGAGGCTGAACAGAGGCTCGCGGAGCAGGTGGTAACGGGATGAGGCTGGCTCCAAAACGGTTGAACTGGGGAACGGACAAAAGTAAACAGATAAGAGTCAAAAACCTTCAAAATGCTCAAAAACACAAAAAGCCTGAGTAGTTCACCACTTGGTTGACAGAACGATCCGGCACTGGAGAGCAGGTCAGCAGGTCTTTTATTGCAGGAGATGATTACTGACGAGGATCAGGAGTGGAGCTCAGCAGGTGAGTGACTGGGATCCGCCCAGGAAAAACCAAATAGGGTAAAGAGAGAAAGAACAGGGAAGGGAGGGGCAGGATGAAACCGTCACACGTGTGTTTGCGAACGACCATTAAAAAATAAAAAAAAAATAAAAAAATCAGTAACAGAAGTCCCTCTGTTTTCACTTTTATTTATACCAACCTGCATGTGTCCCAGTTTAGAATTTTTAAAATCTGGTCACCTTAAACCTTCCTCACACACCTTAGAATAAATGTTTTAAAGTTTCTTTTATACTTTTGCAAAATAAGCCACAAAAATGGGAGATAGAGAAATGGGATAAACAGCACGTTTACATCTTCAAGACGCTCAAAGCTTCACATCAAGGAACCACACACACAGTCACACACACAGTGTACACACACACACACACACACACACACACATACACACACACACACACACACATACACACACACACACACACACACACACACACACACACACACACATACACGCACACACACACACACACACGCACCCCACATGCACACACACACACACAGACACACGCACACACACACACGCACACACACACACACACACGCACACAGTCACACGCAACACACGCACCCCCACATGCACACACACACACACAGTCACACACACACACACACAATACACGCACACACACACACACACACACACGCACACAATACACACACACACACACACGCACACACGCACGCACCCCCACATGCACACACACACACACACACAGTCACACGCACACACGCACACACGCACACACGCACACACGCACACACGCACACAGTCACACGCACACACGCACACACACACGCACACACACACACACACACACAGTCACACACACACACACACACACACACACACACACACGACACACACACACACACACGCACACACGCACCACATGCACACACACACACACACAGTCACACGCACACACACACACACACACACGCACACACACACACACACACACACACACACACCACATGCACACATGCACACACACAGCACACACACACACACACACACACACACACAACACACAACACACGCACACACATAATACACACACACACAACACACACACACACAACACACGACACACACAAGAGAAGGAGGAGGGAGAGACGAAGGGAAAGAGAGACACACAGACACACACCACTCACATCTGAAAGAGAAGGAGAGAGATTGAGAGAGAGAGAGAGAGAGAGAGAGAGACACTACTCAAGAGAGGAAGGACAGGGAGAGAAGAGAGAGAGAGATTTAAAGCTCACAAGAGTCAGTTTTGCGTCTCTCTCTCTCTCTCTTTCTCTTTCTCTTCCTCTCCTCCTCTTCCTCTCCTCTCTCTGTCTCTCCCCTTCTTTTCCCTCCCTCTCTCTTCTTCTTTGCGCTCTCTCTCTCTCTCTCTTCTCTCCTCTTCTTCTTCTCTCTCTCTTCGCTCTCCTCTTTCTTCTCTTTGCCCTCTCTCTCTACCCTCTTCTTCTCTCTCTCTCTCCTCTTTCTCCTCCTCTTTCTCTTTCTCTTTGCCCTCTCTCTCACCCCTCTTCTTCTCTCCTCTCTCTTTCTCCTCCTCTTTCCTCTCTCTCTCTCTCTACCCGCTTCTTCATTCTCTACCCTCTTCTCTCTCACTCTCTCCCTCTCTCTCTCTCCTCCTCCTCTGCTTTACCCTCTCTCTTACCCTCCTCTTCTCTCTCTATTTCTCTCTCACTCTCTTCTCTCTCTCTCTCCCTCCCCTCCTTTTCCTCTCCCCTCAGCCCCTCTCTCTCTCTTCCTCTTTGCCCTCTCTCTGTCTGCCCTCTTCTTCTTTCTCTCTCCGTCACTCTCCCTCTCTCTCCTCTTCCTCCTCTTTTCCCTGTCTCTCTACCCTCCTCTTCTCTCTCTTTCTGTCTCTCCCACTCTCTCTCTCTCTCCCTCCCCCTCCTCTTCCTATCATCTCTTTGTCTCCCCCCTTTTTTCCCTCCCTCCCTCTCTCTCTCTCTCTCTCTCTTCATTTTTGCCCTCTCTCTCTCTACCCTCCTCTTCTCTCTCCTCTCTCTCACTTTCTTCTTCTCTCTCTTCGCCTCTTTCTATCCGCTCTCAGTCTCTATCTGTATCTGTTCTTCTCTCCTCCTGTTCTCTCGGTCTTTCTCTCTCTTTCTCTCTCTCGTTTCTTTTCTTCTCTCTCTTCTTATGCACCTGTTTTCCTCTCCTCTTTCTGTCTGTGTTTGTCTGTTTCAGTTTGAGAGCAGACGATGCGTTCAGGTGCTGTGTTTTTTGGTTCGAAAGCAGAGTGAGATTCTGTCGACTGGTGCAGATCTGAGTCTGAGTCAAAAGATTTAAAAGACTTCACTTCCCATGATGCCGAGAGGAGAAACACAAAGACGCTTTTTCAAGAGACAGAAGAAGAAGAAGAAGAAGAAGAAAGACGGAAAGTAAACAGGTTTAGTCAAAGGGGGAGAGAGAGAAGAAGAGGAGAGAAGGGAAGATGAAGAGAGAGGGAAGAGAAAAAGGGAGAGAAAGGGAAGGGTGAGAGAAAGAAGAGGAGACGGAAACAGAAAAGAGAAAGGGAGAGAGACTGAGCGAAGGAAGAGGAGATCAGAAAGAGACAGAGAGCGAGAAACAGAGGAAGAGGAAGGGGGAGAGAAAGAAGAGGAAGAGAGAAAAGCAGGAGAGTCCGAGAGAGTGACGGGAAGAGAAAGAGAGTGAGAGAGAAAGAAGAGGAAGGGGGAGAGAAGAGAGAGGAAGAGAGAAACAGAAAAAGAGAAGAGGGAGAGAGTGAGAGAGAAGAGGAGAAGAGCNCTCTACCCGCTTCTTCATTCTCTACCCTCTTCTCTCTCACTCTCTCCCTCTCTCTCTTCTCCTCCTCTGCTTTACCCTCTCTCTTACCCTCCTCTTCTCTCTCTATTTCTCTCTCACTCTCTTCTCTCTCTCTCTCCCTCCCCTCCTTTTCCTCTCCCCTCAGCCCCTCTCTCTCTCTTCCTCTTTGCCCTCTCTCTGTCTGCCCTCTTCTTCTTTCTCTCCCCGTCACTCTCCCTCTCTCTCCTCTTCCTCCTCTTTTCCCTGTCTCTCTACCCTCCTCTTCTCTCTCTTTCTCTCTCTCCCACTCTCTTCTCTCTCTCCCTCCCCTCCTCTTCCTATCATCTCTTTGTCTCCCCCCTTTTTTCCCTCCCTCCCTCTCTCTCTCTCTCTCTCTCTTCATTTTTGCCCTCTCTCTCTCTACCCTCCTCTTCTCTCTCCTCTCTCTCACTTTCTTCTTTCTCTCTTCGCCTCTTTCTATCCGCTCTCAGTCTCTATCTGTTCTTCTCTCCTCCTGTTCTCTCGGTCTTTCTCTCTCTTTCTCTCTCTCGTTTCTTTTCTTCTCTTCTTCTTATGCACCTGTTTTCCTCTCCTCTTTCTGTCTGTGTTTGTCTGTTTCAGTTTGAGAGCAGACGATGCGTTCAGGTGCTGTGTTTTTGGTTCGAAAGCAGAGTGAGATTCTGTCGACTGGTGCAGATCTGAGTCTGAGTCAAAAGATTTAAAAGACTTCACTTCCCATGATGCCGAGAGGAGAAACACAAAGACGCTTTCAAGAGACAGAAGAAGAAGAAGAAGAAAAGTAAACAGGTTTAGTCAAAGGGGGAGAGAGAGAAGAAGAGGAGAGAAGGGAAGATGAAGAGAGAGGGAAGAGAAAAAGGGAGAGAAAGGGAAGGGTGAGAGAAAGAAAAGGAGACGGAAACAGAAAAGAGAAAGGGAGAGAGACTGAGCGAAGGAAGAGGAGATCAGAAAGAGACAGAGAGCGAGAAACAGAGGAAGAGGAAGGGGGAGAGAAAGAAGAGGAAGAGAGAAAAGCAGGAGAGTCCGAGAGAGTGACGGGAAGAGAAAGAGAGTGAGAGAGAAAGAAGAGGAAGGGGGAGAGAAAGAAGAGGAAGAGAGAAACAGAAAAGAGAAGAGGGGAGAGAGTGAGAGAAGAGGAGAAGAGCGAGAGGAGGAGAGAAGGGAAGATGGAGAGAGACGGAAGAGAAGAGAGAAAAGGAAGGGGGAGAGAAAGAAGAAGAGAGAGAAAAAGAAAAGAGAAGAGGGGAGACAAACAGAAAAGAGAAGAGAGAGAAACAGAAAAGAGAGAGAGAAACAGAAAAGAGAAGAGAGAGAAGAGAGAGAAACAGAAAAGAGAAGAGAGAGAAACAGAAAAGAGAAGAGGAGAAAAAGAGAAGAGAGAAAAAGAGAAACAGAAAAGAGAAGAGAGAAGAGAGAGAAAACAGAAAAGAGAAGAGGAGAGAGAAACAGAAAAGAGAAGAGAAG